TCAGAATGTGGAGTCTATCTGGGAAAAGAGAAATGCTAGATGCATTCGTATATCGCCATCAGTCATGCTTCCCATTCAACAATGAAGAATTTCTGAGTCCCTTGCTTGAGTGCCCTGAACCGGTAGTCCCCAGATTTCACTCAGCCCTTGCCATCCAACCACTCATCCACACACACACAACCAATAACAAATCTTTGTCCTGTGTGTTTTCCAAATTCTTCAGGCTGTCTCTAGCTCAGGCTTAACCATGTTTTAGGTAAGCTGAGTAGATTCAGCATGTGCAATTTGGCTCATGAATCTGTCTGTCTCTTTGGCCCGCTCTCAGGAGTTCTTCTCTAAACCTCCTCTCATCTGTCTACAAACTTTTGCAACATGCAGGCTTCCCTGTCTGAAAGTAGAGTGTGTGCCACTAGTAATGTGAAAGGAAGCTGTACAAACTGTAAAGACATGGTTTCTCTTCTTGGTGCCATGATGAGGTGGTAGCTGTGTTTGTATGAAGATAAGGGGTTGTGGAAGGTGTACATGTGGATGTTGAGCTGTGCATATGTGTACATGTTGTCTCAAGGATATGGGGAATATGTACATGGTACGTAGTATGCCATATGAGGAATAGGCAGGCATATCTGTGGTATATGCACATATAACATATGGAGGTGTGCTTGTGTTGTGCATACGTGCTTGTGGATTTGATATAAGGTTTGCAAATGCAGTGGTATATATTATGTGTGTAGAGGTATTGGGATGTGTACATGGTTACATGGAAATCATGTATGTGGGGTGGGAAGTCATATGTATGGTATTTACATGTAGATTTCTATGTGTGGCTATGCAGGATATGTGCTGATGTGTGTGAGGTATGTGGCAGGTGAGTATGTGGAGTGTTGAGGCATGTATATGTCTTGATGTAGTTTATACATGTCAGGGTATGGGGTATGTCTGTAGAGATTTTAGGATATACATGTGTATAGTTAAGTAGGATGGATGTAGGTGGGGTGGACATACAGGTGGCATGTACATATATATGTGTCTTCACACTTACTTAGGGTACCTATTCTGGCATATGTCTGTTAGCATGACATGTACCAGTAGGGTCCTGGCATTCTGCATGTTTGTGGTTATAAGGGGCTATAGAATAGGGACTGTATGTATGTGCAGAAAGTGTGCAGTTTGTTTATGAGGTTATATAGGGCATGTACATTAGAGTGTACACAGGTGTTTGGTTGTGTGAATGTGGTTATGTAGGTTATGTGTTCATGAGAAACTTGTGCACACCTGTCTGGTGTGATGTGGAGAATTGTACACATGCTATAAGACCACAGGTTTTGGACTCCGTCCACATCAAGGCATCTTCACTCATTCCTTCTCCCACATATTTAGAAGCTAGCCGTGACCCAGGCAGAGTTCTCAGGTTCAACAGTGAACAACACAGACAAGATTTGAGTTCACAGATCTTATACTTCCATGGGAGAAGAGATAGTTCACTAAAACAAAAAAAAGTCACAGAAAATAATTTCTTATGTCAGCAAATGCAAGGAGGTACCAGCTCTTTTCATGATAGTATGGACCAAAACAGCTTCTCACACTTCAGCAGGCTAGGGAAGAAAGGGCCAAGAGTGAGACTAGGGAAAGACACTGAGTCCCTGAGCCACAGCTAAGAAGATCAGGAACTGGACAAGGTGGTTTTTAATTCTCCCTCTCTCTCCTCCCGAGTACTCCTCCATTACAGCATGGAGAGGGAGGGTCTTGCAAGTCCACACCCTTAACTGAGAAGCAGTTGATGGTTGATAGCTTTTGGGAGAGGGAAAGTGTGTTTTCTTTAAGGGTGTGGCTCTTGGTAGGTCAGCCCTGCTCCAGTGGATAGCCACACATCTATGAGTATATGGGCAGCACAAATTGGAATCATTGGGTTACAAGAAGAAGAAAAGGAGGAGAAAGAAGAAGGAGAAGAAGGGTGTATATTGCATAAGTATAGTTTTGTTTTTGTTTTTGTTTTCTTGCAGCAGAAAAGCAGACAGACATGATCTTAACAGGTTAAGACTCCTGTATCAGACAAACAAGGAACCCCAAGTTTTCTGTGGGATAATGGTTGAATGCATTTAGAGGGTCATGTACATAGGTAGTTACTGGGAAGTTGCATCTATTCTCCAGTGGTTTGAATGGGAGTAGGGTGGGTTGTTTTCAATACCTAGGCACATTGTTTATTGTTTCTGTAGGTAGAGTAGACCAGTTAGGCTGGAGACAAACAATTCGTTATGACTAGGGCTATTGCCCAATACACCCTGATTCAACTCCTCATGATCTGAAACTAATACGCAATAAGGGTAGACTCAAGAACAACATCCGAGGTGCTCCTCTGGCACTGTACACACACACACACACACACACACACACACACGCACACACACACACACACACACACACACACACACACACACACACACACACACACACACACACACACACACACACACACACACACGTTTGGCCTGAAAAGCAGAATGGGAAAATAAAACATAATTCATGCTACCAAGGTCTAATGAAGGGACTATTTTGTTAATCACTTCGTGTTGTTACTGGACAGCCAATAATCATTGCCTTGTTAAGTGCCCCATGCAGTCAGAACACAGTCGCAGAGCACTGTCATGCTCATGCTGTCATCTACAGATGCATATGTGTAAGACCCACAGATCTCCTTGTGTTTGCTCTGGGAGCTGAGACAAGTGCAAAGTCAGGAAGTGTAGCCAGGGCTTGGCATTGACGTGTAAATGAGCCCAAGATGAAGCCCATTTGCTCTATGCCTGATCTCCATGTCAAAGCCTGACTATTCTGTCACCTCGCTACAGAGGGGAGTCGGGGAATAGGCATTCTTCTTATCACCCCCGAACACATGTTAAAAATTTACTCCCTGAAATGGCCGTGCACAAATAGGGCTGGGGTGAGGTAGGGGAAGGCACTTTCCAGGTTGATTCACATGCAAACTCTATTTTGAAGCTATTCATCTTCTGGAAAGGCAATCACTGCCTTGAGGAGAACTCTGAGTTGAGTCTTTGGTTGCTGCATTCACAGGTTCAGGTTCCACATGCAGAAGCAAAGTCCACCAAGGCCAGAGGTGGGACTGATAGGTTCAAGTGACTGAGTAGACACTCCATCTAGAATCTTCTAACGTCCTGATGACTTACTTCTCAGACTACAGAGTCTTGATGGTTTCTGTTCAGGCCTCATATTTAGATTGTTTATGATGACAAACTCAATCTTCTGGTCTCCCTGTAAATGTATAAGGTTGGAACACTTTGGATATTGTAAAAAAAAAATCTTCCATGGGGTTAACAGACTATTATGTAGATTTAGGAAGAAGCCAAGAAGTAGGTTCCAGTCGGCAACAGATGCACAGCTGAGGGATGCTGAAGACCTGAGGCGGACTTCTCAACTGAGCCTCACTGAACTTTCAACCACATGCTTGTATAAAATAAGGATAGGGGAAAAAAAGGCGAAGAACTGAGTGTGTTATTGCTTGACCTGGTGGGGAGGAGGGAGGGTCAGGGTTTTCCAGAGAGACAGAACCAACAGAATGAAGTGAGATCAAAATAAAATTGTTAGATTGTCCTACACGATATGGTGAGAGTAGCCCAAGGGCTGTCTCACCCTGGAGAGGCTGAGAGCCTGGTAGTTGCTCAATCCATGAGTCCGATGATTCAGGAGTCCCCATGTGGTACTGAATGGAGGATCCCTGGAAACCCTGTGGACCTCCTGGAGAGCTGATGGCCCTCCACGCTGCAGGAAGGCCCTAAGGCTGTGTTCTGACATCTGTGAAGGAACACAACCACAGCCAAAGTCACAGCAGCACAGATACATTTGCCAGCAAGACAAGAGGCAAACAGGCAAAATGCAAATCTTTCTTCTTCCATCTCCTCTTATCTGGGTTCTCACCAGAAGGGACCCCATATTTAAATACTCCCTCGCAGGAGTGACCATTGGCTTGCCCTTTAGCAGATTCTAGATGCAGTTAGGTTGAAAACCAAGATTAGCCATGACAGGGGGGCTATGATGCCAGGCAGGCCTAGGGTGGAGCTGAGAGGTTGCTCTGATGGGAGTGACACTGGAGAATTCCCAATAAAACCATTAGGGCTCAGCGTGGGGCTGTATTAGAATGCTCCAAAGGAAGATAAACAGTAGAATAGGGACTATCCGGAACTAACTCACAAGCCTACTAACTTCTCATTTTTTTAGTGTCTCCCTCAACCTCTTACTTCAGATATGTTAAGTTTTCATTGCAAAGGCCACCTCTTTGATTAAGTTTATTCTGAGGTAGTTTTTGAGGCTATTGCAAATGGGAGTGTGTGCACAATCTCTTTATTGGTGTGTTTGTTGGTGGAGCGTAGACATAGAACTGATACTTCTGAGTTGGTTTTGTACCTGTCACTTTGCTGAACTCACTAATAATTTCCAGAAGTTTTCTGGTGGAACTTTGGAATCCTTATCGTGCAACATCACATCATCTGCAAATGGGGATAGTTTGGCTTCCTTTTTTTTTCTATGTATAATTCCTTTAATTTCCTTCTTTTGCTTTATTGCTCCAGCTAGTGCTGCAAGCAACTTGACTGAAAAGGAGTAGGGGTAATGCACAACACTGTCTCATTCCTGATTTCTCATAGGATTGCTTGGAGTTTTCTGCTTTAAGTGGTGTCGGCTGTGGATTTGTCATCTGCAGCTTTTATTTTATTGAGGAATGTTTCTACCAGCTCTACTCTAGTTATCATGAAGGAATGCTGCATATTGCTAAAGACTTTTCCTAAATCTATTGAGATTATCGTATTGTTTCTGTGTTTAAGTTCATTCATATGATTCCTTACATTTATTGATTTGTATGTGTGATACCTTTCCTACATCTGTGGGATACAAATACCTTGATCATGGTGTATGGTGTTTTTGTTATGTGCAGATAAATGGTTCCTAAATATTGGAAACAAACTCCTTGACGTGTCTACAAAAATATTTTCTAGGTTGTGTTAGGTGAGGCGACGAGAAGAGCATTCCAGATGTGGGCAGCACCGTTTATTTCATCACCTTGATCTGGACGGAGAGAAAGAAATGAGCAAGCTGAGCATCATCCGTCTCTCTCTGCTTCCTGACTGCAGGTGCCGAGTGACCCACCCGCGGCTTCACGTTCCTGCCTTTCCAAAGCGATGGGCTGTACCCTCAAACCATGAGATAAAATAAATCCTGCCTACCTTAAATATCCTTGCCACATAACTTGTCCCAGCAGCAGGCAAAGCTACTAAAACAGTAATCTTCTCCCTACTTGTGTCAGTTGCCCCCAGGCTTCCAACTTTCTTTTATATTGTTGGTTCAAATGCTTCATTTTCAAAAAGGAGGAGAATGGCTCCCCAAATGCCAAAGGAAAAGCTCTGCAGGAACCCAGCCCGGCTCCATATCACGGCACACATGTAGACTTCTGTGTTAGAAATGAGAAGCACGGGGCTATGGCAATGAGTCTCCCCGTTTATTCTGATAGTCTCCCTTCTTCTCATTGTAATGTTAGGGTTATAGGGACGACTTGGGGGGTTCAGATCCTCTTCACTGCTGACGTTCAAGTGGTACACATGCCCCACTGAAGAACAGTACCCATGATTCCGAGGAGGGGCTGCATCAGCCCCTGTACTGGGGCTCCTCCCAAAAGTGAGAACCAAATTAAAATCCACATTCTGTCAAATACCTGCTGAGGAGCAAAGGCATTCCAGTTCAGAACCATTGGAACTCTCCTTTAACAAACAGCGAGCAAGCAGACACACCTCTTAGAACCCAGGCCTGAACCAGGCTGTGCCTCTCCATGGGCGTCTCTAAGACAGAGCGTCAGGAAGCCGTCTGTGCTATGATTTGACAGCTCTCAAGGTGCTGATCCTCCAAGCTCCCTGCCTCAACTAAATCATGTGGTGTGAAACTTCTCATCACCCCTAAAGGGTCATAAACGTCTGGCCTTTCCTTTGTTCTGGGAACTGGTCCAGACTCCTCAGGGAGACAGTTCAGGGATTTGGTCCAGAGATGCCAGAGATGAAGGCAGCTGCTTTCAAAGGAGATTCCTCTGGCTTCCCCACCACCATCATCCCTGGCATCTCATGGCAGCCCTCTCATACACACACACACACACACACACACACACACACACACACACACACACACACACTCGCTCTTGCATACATGTCCATGTGTTCTTACCCTGAATGGAGAAGATCCTCTCCAGTCTTTAAAGAGACGTTAGTGCTCCACTTAAGATACCATCTCACTTAGACCTCCGTGTATCGTATGGTTTCTTTATGGCTATGATCTCCCTCCCTCCCTCCCACCTCGGCCCCCATCATGGCCAGCAGAGCCTGCTCACTCTCAGCCTTCCATGAGGACTGAGCACTAACATCTGTCTCATAACATGTATGTAACTTATAAAAGGTAATTTATGAAAAGGACTCGAGTGGCGTATTAATAGGCGTGCACACACATGCTCTGTGCTTGCCTTGCTGTGGGAGATGTGGTGTGTGTGTGTCATGTTGGTGTTCTGAGTGCATGTATTGTGGGTGTGAGTGTGGCACATAGCATGACATGTGTGTTGTGGGGAAGAATACACATTTGGCAGCTCATCTGCTTACATAAAGGTAAGGGTTGGTATGTGTGTGGTATATGTTGTAGTATATGAAACAGTATACAAGCATGTTTGTGGGTGAGCGATATGTGAGTGTGTATGTGTATGTGTGTATGTAGATCAGTATGGCTGTGGTATGTTAGTGTTGTGTGTGATGTCTATATATGTGTTCACATGTCGTGTGTGGTTTATGTATAATGTGGGTGGGTCGTGTGCAATAAGGGTGTTCACATGTGTGGGTGCCTGTAACAGACAACACATGTCCATGTGAATAAATGTGCATGTGTGGTATTGTGATTGTGGTGTCTGTGTGTTATGTGTTGTGATATGTGAGCTCCCTGTATGTTGTCTCATGTGTGTAGTATGGGGTGACCTGTGTGTCACATCATCTGTAGCTCCAGCAGGATCTTCAGTTAGACTGAAGCCTATAGCCATGTGGAATCTGTGACTGCAGGGCCTTCCTGTTGGAGCTGTAGAGACAGGACTGGGCAGGGAGCAGGGAACGCCCCTATTGTCTCCGCCCACAGCTGAGGGTGAGAGACACTGAGCCAGGCACTCCCTGAAGCTGAGACAGCAAATGTCCTTTGTCAGGACGACAAAGTCTCCCTGGGTTCCCCTCCATCAGGTCAGCATGGCCACTGCGAGTCAGAAGACAAGTCAGCCAGGAGAAGCCTGTGACAGCTCTGATTGACAGCTCTGAGAGTCTGAATCAAGACTTCTTACTCCAGAGACAGCATCCCTTCCTAGAAAGGCTCTTGTGTAGTTGCACACCTCGTGGAATTGTGGAGGAAAGACTCTGGCTTTCCTTTCCTTTCTTTTCTTTTCTTTTTCTCCCCCCCCAGTGAATAGACACACCTTTTCCTACTGAAAAAAAAACGATAGCAGTTTCAATCTGGTGATAATTGCACTCATAATTTTTTTTTTTTGCTCTTAAAATCAGCCATTTCTATGGCAAACTCATCTCACCACGAGAACTGGGAAGACGTCATTCCTGAGATAGAAGGATGGACTGCAAATCTGTCTGCCACGCTTCCATTTCCTTTCCTTTTAGAGATAACACAGCCACAGCCCTGATCATAACGGCAATATCTCCCTCAAAGTACGAGGGTGGGGTGAGGGTGGAGCTGAGTAAATTAGGACTCTCGTTCCCATCCCTGTTTGTTTAACTGTTTTTCCTCTCCCCAGCGCGAGGACAGAATCTGGGTCTTTGCACAGGACAGGCTAGGCCTATCCCACTTTCACTTGCTATGAAAGAGTGGGAAGGACGTGTGTGGAAGGCGGGGTGAGAAGGCCAGCTGTTTCCTAGCCCTGCTCTTCACCCCAGAGAGTCCCTCACACTTCTCATCCCCGTTTTTCCCAAGAGCAGATGGCAGCGGTGCTAAAATCCTCATGGAAGCTTAGGGAAGCCAGTGTCCAAACGCAAGGCAACCTACCTACAAAGCTCTGGCTGTTTTGTGTCCCACACAACCCAATTACTTGTGATTCTGACTTTAAAGCACACAAATGAAGAAAAGGATACAGATAGAGCCAACCTAGCCATCTGTCTCCAGGCAATGGGATGTGAGGGCCCCTCTGGTGGCCTCAGAGTCCCGCCCAGAAGATATCTCCAGATAAGCCCAAATTTGCATCTGTCCTTGTAGCTTCCAGATAAGAGCTACTGTTTCCAGATATCTCCATATTGCTGCACTAGCCCAGCCTCTGCAGACATGCTAATGCTCACCCAGAGGAACCTTCCTGCCTCGGGAAGTGTGGGAACCAGGAGACATGACTCACCGAGCCAATTAAAGTGGGAAATTCGCATTACGGATCTGCCTGCTTGTTTCAATTAGGAGCAAAAGCGCCCCCCCCTTTCCTTCCTAAGCAGAGAGGAACGGGGAACGTGAGGAGGAGGGTCTGGACTCCTTCTAGGGGGAATTTAAGAGCACACAACTAGAGTCAGAAGCCTCATGCTGCCCAGAGATGGTGGAGGTCAGAGAGGCACAGAAATGTTTGAAGAATGCCCGTCAGGAGAAGATAAATGCTTCCTGTTCTCTGGGCTCGCTCCCTCTTTAACTCTCCTTCCCATCTCTGTGAGACCCTGCAGCAGCCCCTTGCAGCTGTGACCTCTCTCAACTGCCAGCCTCAGATGACTGACACTTCATCAATTTTGCCTGAACTGCATTTGCAAGCCCGTCTCCTGGGAGGGTTGGCCAAGTGCACCAGGCACGGGGGCATTACCCTACCAAAGCCAAATTGCAGTAGAGTGAGGGGGCTTTTCCCACCTTCTCCCCGTGGCCTGGGCGACCAGCCTAGGGGCCTGCAGGCCAAAGGGAAATGAAGGACCTCTGATTATTCCTTGTAAATTTTTCATGAGGACATCTGCCCTGCTCCCCTCCCTCTGAGTATCCCTCTATCTCTCTCCCCTCCTCCCTCTCTGTCCCCCCTTTTCTCCTTACTTACTCTCTCCCCCTCCTCTCTCCCTCCCTCATCTCTCTTCTCTCTCTCCTCCTTCCTCCCCCTCCTGCCTCCTGCTCTCCACTCCTCCTCCCCCTTTCCTCTCTCCTCCCCCTTTTCCTCCCTCTTCTCCCTCCTTCCTTGTGTTCAGATCCCTGACAACTCATAAAAAACGAGAGCCGTTGGGCCTCAGCTGCCATTAGCCAAGACTTGCCTGGTGTGAGTGGGTACCCCAGGCTGAGAGGCTGCCGGGCAGCAGGGAGGGGTCCTGGAAACAAAAGACCAGGCAGAAAGGAGGTTATAGGCAGGTGAGCAATAAAGCCCTTACCCTACCTAGGACTGGTTCTGCAGACCCAGGGCTCTGTGCAGGAGATGGAGATCAGTTCCAGGGCCCAGGCTTCCCCTAATTAACACCCCCTCCCTCCCTGGTTCCTAGAGGTGGTGGGCATCATGGAGCTGCCGGCTCCCTAATCGAGTACACAGTCCAAACGAAAGCTGAGAAAGATTGGACTCTGTATATATACATAGGGAGTTGAATGCTTCTTAAATAGTAAAATGTAAAGAAAGGGTAGTGGGGATAGGTCTCAAAATCCTGCCTCCATACAGTTCAAACCAAGGACCCATAACTCTATCTCGTTAATGCGCCCAATCGTTCAGATGTCCTTTTTGTGTCCCCTTTGAAGTGACATGTGCTTCAATTCAATTTTAATCTTCTAAGTAACATGCGCAAGTGAAGTCGCTACCCTTCTTGGCTGTTTTCTAAGGCAGTTTGGTCCACAACAAATCAAGCTTTCAGTCCGGAGTCCAGGAACGATCTCAGGCCGGGGAGATGCGCAGAAGAACTGCGCAGAAGGGGTACATTTATTAAGAAACCCTTCACTGTACACACCTTCCCTACCTTTGTGTGGGTCCTGGCCCTGGTCCTTGGGGACCCGCCGTGGCGGCACTCCGTGGAACAACAGTGCCACCCAATGGTCAGTATTGGCAAGTGGCGGCCCCTTCCCTCTGCTGTATCCGTAGGCCCGAATGTCACATCTTTAAGCGGTTTTCTACATGAAAGGAAGCCTGCAACTGATTCAAAGGCACCTTACTTTGGAAATCTGAGCATACCTACCCATAAAAGGCAGCATACAGAGAACGCTGAGGAATGCTTTTGTTATGTTGGGGGGT